CGTACATATACGCAGTAGTACCTCTTTCAGGACTGCGTACATATACGCAGTAGTACCTCTTTCAGGACTGCGGAAAGTGGAGATTTCCTGCCTTCAGGGAGCCTGAGAGTCAGGTGATGTCTAGTCCATTGAGTTTCAGGTGCAGTGATCCAAAGTTCTAATCCTGCTGTTCAAGACTAGATATTTCCCTTTCTTGACATACATTTACTTCCCACTTCCATGCTTTTTTTTTTTCTTTCTTCATTCTTACTTCTATTAATAAAGTTGTTTTATTGCAGTTTTCCATATGAGTCCTTTATAATGACTGACCCTCTCTGCTTGAAGAAAGTTTTTGTTGCTAAACATTTTTCTGTCACAGTTTTAGTTAGCATTTATGTTAGAAGTATAGTTCTTAAAGAGTCTTGTGTCTCCAGAATTACTGAAAATCACAACTTGAGAGAATCAGGGCTGCTCCCCATTTGACACAGTGCATTGCTTGAGGCTTCTCTTTAAATTGGTCATCACAATAAAAGTCTTTGTTCTAGTGTGTTTACAAAAGTGATATTCAGTGGCATTCAATTCATTTTTACTAAGTAGCCAGAAAGGTACAATGGTAGGTTCCTTTCTGGATTTTCATTCTCTTGATTAGGCAGAGATAAACTTCCTTCAGTTTTCTTTTTCACTTTACACACACACACACACACTGCTGTATAAATTTGGGTTACCTTAGAATAGTAGTACTGAGTAATAGCTTTATTGAAATGTCATTTACATCTTCTACAGTTTGCCGCATAAAGTATGTAGCTTTGGTTCTCAGCGGTCAGAGTTGTGCAGGCATCACAAAGTCAATTTGCAAACACTTTTTGCCACTACAAAAGAAAGAAACCCTTATGTCTTTTACCTGTCAACTATTTCCTTACCCCAGGAATCCCTTTATTTGCTTGCTTGTAAACTTTCTAGTCTAGACATTCAGGTATAAAAATAGAGCCATATCATATTTGGTCTTTTGAATTACCCAGCATGTTTTTAAAGTCATCCCTGTTTTAGCATGCATTATGCTTAGCAAGGAAAGTGTGCTTCCTTATTCTATTGCTGAATGTCATTTCACCGTCTGAATATTTTATATACTTATTTTAGATTTATTTTTATTTTCTGTATAGGAGTGCTTGCCTGCATGTATGTCTGTGTCCCACACATGTGCCTGCTGCCAGCAGGGGCCAGAATTGGGCATTGGATCCCCCAGCAACTGGAGTTGCAGGCAGTTGGGAGCCACTATGGGTGCTGGGAACTGAACTCAGGTCTTATGCAAAAGCAGCAAGGGTTCTTCTGCATTGTTTACTGTTCTGTTGCTGTGAAGACATGCTGTGAGCAATGCAGTTTATAAATGAATGCATTTAATTGGGAGCTTGCTAATAGTTTCCGTGGGTGAGTTGAGTCCCTACCATCATGGCAAGAGGCATGGACTAGATTAGTAGCTGAGAGCTTACATGTTGAGACAGAAAGACAAAGAAACAAGGCAGAAGGAGCCTTAAAGTCCGTCCCCAGTGACACACCTCCTAATCTCCAAAACCATTTACACAGCTGCCACCAAGCACAAGATACCAGCCAGGTGAGACCATTCTCATTCAGAACCCCACACCATCCTAACAGCTCCGGGATTCTTTTAAAACAAATGGTTCTCAGTCTTCTTCAGTTTCTAATATAACTTGACTCAAGTTTATTATTTTAGAAATTAATATAAAATGGCATCTCATTCTTCTATGTTAAAAACCTGTGTTATGGGGCTGAAGAGCTGGCACAGAGGTTAAGAGCACTGACTGCACCTCCAGAGGTCCTGAGTTCAATTCCCAACAACCACATGGTGGCTCACAACCACCTGTAATGAGATCTGGTGCTCTCTTCCGGCCTGCAGGCATAAATAAATCTTAAAATAAAAAAGCCACGTGACAAATGCTGAAATACATTGAAAATTTGAGTTCTATTGTGCTTTTAATCCTCCACTCCAGTTCTATTAAGTGTCTGCCTTAATAACTTTACTTCCCAATCCACTCTGCCATTTTCATTGACGTGGACTTGAGAATGAAATAGGATAGAGTACATTGTTGTTTGTTTGAAGACCTTGTCTGCTTCCTCACCATATTTTTAGTTCTTTTTAAAGAGACAACATTTAAAACTATTTTCTCTTACATTTCAATTTATTAGGAAGAAAGTATTGAAAAGCAACACTGAATATTTTATATACTAAGAATTAAATATTTTGCAGAAGCCATTCTCGATGTTTTGGTGGTGTGTGCCTATAATCTCAGCACTCGGGGGCAGGAATGGGAGGATTGCTGCAAGTTCAAGGCCAGTCCCTCCTTCCAGCCCTAAATGTCCTGTCTTAAAGCAAAACCAAAGGGCCATTCTCCTGTTGCTTTTCATGTCAGTCTACCTCATGTCTGTCATAAAAACATAATGAAAAGGAACAGCCCATTTTCTGAATTCATATCTTTTACATGAAAGACAGATGTATAAACAACTTTTTTTTTTTTTAACACTGGAATTTAGGGTCCTCCTCTGGGAAGCACACTCTTTAGAAGGCTCCAGTATGTGAACTGCTCATTCAGGAAGTGGTCTTAGAATAACTTTATTATGGTAGTACACATATCCTCAAGATCTGAATTTGCATGTTAATGAGTCATTATAGGAGTTGGTTGCTTTGAAGACTTTGCAAACTTAGTGGCTCAAGCTATCACCTAGGTGATATCAAATAGGTGATTCCTTATTTATAAGAAATTGCTGTTTTCATTATAATATCCAGAGTTCAATATTTCTTCATTACTTGAGACAGAGGCTCATTTTGTAGCCTTGATTGGTGGGGAATTCACTGTGTACACCAGGCTAACCTCAACTCCTAGAGCTCTACCTGCCTCTGCCTCCTGAGGGCTGGAATTAAAGTTGTGCGCCACCACGTCTGACCTCCCCTGGTACTTTTGAAACCATCTTGGTATGCAAGTCTTGTCTGTCTCAAGCTGATCCTCCTTCCTCAGCTTCCCATGTTCTAGAATGACAGGCACGTGCTGTCGTGCCCAGCCTTAGAATTCTGCCTTTAAAACACAATAATATGATTGTTGCCAGTTTATTTATTGCTTAGAGAGTAGAAACTGCTTTTCCTTTTTTCCCTCCTAGTGTTTACCAAGCAAGCAGTGAACATGTTAATGGATTGAGTGTGGCATGTCATTCAGCCTGCAGCATACCATTGACTGATTCATGAGCGGTTGTTTAAAGTGAGGGAGTGAAGTTAATTAATGAGTTTTCTGGTCTGTTACGGTGTTGGCCCCTGAAAAGTTGTATTGTAATTTTAAATATATGTAAAATAAGTATGTGTAAAAGTTTAAGTAATAAGAGCTAAAAGTTTAGTTGGGTAATTTAAGTGTCGTTATGAGCTCACTTGGTTTAAAGAATTTATATTTGGTTTCACTTTTCTCAAAAAGTTGCCCTGCTTTGTTTTGTGCCAGGAGGATGAGAACATGCCTGTTCCTCCTGATCCAGCCAGTCAGCATTTACGTGGTCATGGAGCAGGCTTTTGCTTTGATTCCAGGCAAGTGTTTTCCTTTGCAAAATTACATAGAATTATGTAAAAGAAGTGATTCTAAAAAAAAAAAAATAGTTTCTGGAAACTTGTTAAAAATACAGTGCTCAGAGTGCAGCATACAGAGAACTGGTAAAATAGCAGCTGTGTGTCATCCTTTGACAAGCCAGTGGCATAGAAGCTTGGAAATAGACACTTTTAAATTGTGTTCGTCGGGTCTGTGTGTGGGTTTGCTCACTTGTGTTCAGAGGCCAGAAAAGGGTGTCCAGTTCCCCGGAGCTGGAGTCCAGGCAGTTGTGAACCGTGCAGAGAGGGCATCTCTGTTCCTGCAAGAGCAGCACACGTTCTTACTCAAGCTCCTGGTGGGAAATTAGGAGTTGCATTTATCCTTAGAGTTAAAAAATAAAAACAAGGAGGAATACTAGGTCAGATTTTAATTTAAACAGTTTGTAAGTTTAAAGTAGTCTACCCCAGTGGACAGAGTGGATTGGATTAACTGGCTGGTTGTGATGGGCTTTGATCGAATTCACTCAGAAGTGTCAGACAATTTACAACAGGACAATTGTTCTTAGATGAAATCTTTGACCTAGGGAGACGTTTTAGTACATCCAGATCTCTGCCAGGCCTACCGAGGATCATCTAAACTAGCAGAATCCAACCAGTTTCTTAGCAGGTAAGATAGCTGAGATCAGAAAACAGATTAGTTACATGAACTCCACCGTAAGTAGAATATTGGCACAGCAGGAAGAACTTGTTGAGTCCTTCACCACCATCCTGTGTGCGATTAAACCCATTGCCACCGTAGTGCCAGTGGGGGAAGGGATACATAAATGTTGCACAGAGCTGCTCGCCAGTTATGACTCCCTTGTGATCCACCGGTAGTCAGCCTCAATAGCTGCAGAACTGAAGCATATTGGAAAGAGAATGGGCAAAGGCTCTAGATAACCTATGCACCAAAAACTGGGTCCTGTGTCCCTCTTGTGGTTCAAGAGACAAATAATCTTTTGAAAGAAGCTTGCCACCTTAATGTGGAAACTTTGTCCAAGCCCTGCATAATTGCCCAAGAATTTGCACAACTCCTGTATGATCGCCTTTCCATCAATTGGCCCAAATAAGTGCAAAGATTGCTAAGCATTACAATGGAATTGATGTATGCAATGCCAAGTTTCAAGCCGCTAGCTTAGCAGAAGGTGATTCAGCCCAACATGCTTTGTTAGGACTGACTCACTAGGTCCCCTGTCTCGCAGAAGCTTTCTCTTCAGAGGTTAAAATTAAGAGTCAAGCTGAGATTCCTCATTGGTATCAGAAGAGCATTAGAGTGATCCCGCCTAATCCTCAGCTTGAATATGGCTGGGTGTATGTTTATGTTTTACCCACTGGACAAAAGTTAAGACTTAAATTTAATGGTGACTCAATTTTAGAGTTAGGCAGTAGTGAATAGTATGTGGTAATCCAGTTATTAATACAGGATTATTTGATGAGATTGTCCTATTTATAGCCCCCAACCAATTGTGCAGCTTGAGTAATAATATTTTAGCAAGGACTTTTTTTCCAATAAGAAAAAAAAAACAATTAAACAACAACCAAAAAAAAAGCCTAAATTAAAACACTTTATTTAAAAAGTGAGAATGAGAAAGCTTCACAGTAGACTGCATCTCACATAGTGTCTGACTTCGGTAGGTTTGGGACTGTCAGTCAATTGTAAGACCAGATTTAGTGGTGGCTTTGTAAAAAGACAGATGCTGTACACAGGACCAGGAATCTAGAAGCTGAAAAAGTTTAACTAAACTGGTAAAGACTTTGAGGATGAGTTGTCTGGTCCAGCTGTCAGCTAGCTAAAGTACTTGTTGTATACTGAGATTGGTGTTACAACTAGAAAATACCTAATTCTTTCTTTTTCTTCTTTCTTTAAAAGCTTTGATGTCCACAAGAAGTGTCCCCTCTGTGAGCTAATGTTCCCTCCCAACTATGATCAGAGCAAATTTGAAGAGCACGTTGAAAGTCACTGGAAGGTGTGCCCGATGTGCAGCGAGCAGTTCCCTCCCGACTATGACCAGCAGGGGTTTGAAAGGCATGTTCAGACCCACTTTGATCAGAATGTTCTAAACTTTGACTAGCTTTCATTGTGAGTTAGTACAATTTAGCAATTAAAACAAAACAACTCAGCTAGAGACTAAGGAGATGCCGAGGTGTCGCTCTCATGCTCCTCTCCACTTTCTGATTGAGAACTACTTTTGAGTGCGGTGTTGCTAGGGCCAGGGTACAGCTTTGACTACAGTAAATACAGTTTTAATCTCTGTTAATCTTGTCTGCTTTAAGAAAGTTCTTAGGTGTTTCAATTTGTCCTCCAGTTAGAAAAAGTATATGAAGAAGGACACAGGAGTTATTTTCATGTCACTGAACTGAAAACATATGTGTGATAGTTGCAGATTATTTAGCACAATCAGAAGATATACAAGTTTCTGTTCACATTGGTGATTGAGCATGACTACTATAATGTAATAAAAAGCATCGATCATAACAGTTCTGTGAAATAATTCTTTGAATATAGAAAACTCATAATTTAGTCAATAAATCTTTCTTAGATATGGAGCTGCATGTAGAATGAGATCACAGACGTGAGATACTCTTTTTTAATATGAAAAACACTGGCTCTAGGAATTAATATAGGCATATTTTGCTAATTTTATGGTAATAAATAAATTTTAAAAATTAAAATGTAATATGTATGGTTATTTTTAAACTGTTGAATTGTGTTTATCACTAGTGAGAGAATGACTAAGGTAAGCACACAGCAGCCGTTGTCATTAGGTGACCCTGTCAGGAGAGTGTGGCATAGAACGACAGCCTGTGGATCAGTGTCTTTCTCACATTTTTCTAATGAGAACACAAATTGGAAATCACATTCCTTAGTAAGTGATTAAATTTGCAGCCCCAGCCTAACGAATGTGTGTCTTAGTTGCAGTTCTGCAGTATGGTGTCCGTTAACATTAAAGAAGACATACTTTGGAGGGCTGTCATACCATTGACACATTTGCTTAGGTTTTCACTAACCTGATGCCTTGGAGTTTTTGGCTGGGGCCTTAACTTTTGAACTGTACTCCTTTCTCTTTTATGATGGGAATGTTAATAAAGTACTTTTCATTTGCTGCTTTAGTAGTTGCCAGAATATTGAGACTGTTAAGAGCAAACCGGGTTTTTAAGATGCTAATATTCAGAGTTGGTAGTCTTCTGGACTGCTGTGTGTGAACTCTGTTATATGCCATGTTGCTGGTATTTGTAGTAGCAGAATTTGTATATTTGAGTCATTTGAAAAGGTGTGTGTGTATATATATATATATATATATGTTTTAAAATACTTTTATTTTTTTTTTACATTTATTTTATTTGAAAAGCTATTTGAATCTGGGGAAAACCAGTATGTAGTAGTATTCAGATGCCAGGTGTTGGGCAGTCCTGGGAGACAGTAACAGCAGTGCCTTCTCCTGGCTTCCTGGGAAGCTTTATATAGAAAATACTTGGGCAGAATATGCTTAGCAAGGGGTTATGGGGATGGCTTCCGTACTGAAGTGCTTGCTGGGCTGAGTTCTGGTCCCCAGCACTCCGTGAAAAACCAGACGTGTGCTTGTAAACCCTCTGCTAGGGAAGCAGTAACTAGAGGTCCTTGGGGCTTGCTGCTCAGCCAGTCTAGACAAGTCTTTGAGCTTCAGGTTCAGTGAGAGACCGTGTCTCAAGGTGGAGAAGTGAGTGAGGAATGACGCATGGTGACTTCTGGCCTCCACGTGCCCACACGCTGGGGGTTTCTCTTGCCGTTAGTATGGCCCATGCTGACCGGACAGTAGTCTGAATAGTAAAGTACCGTCCAGGGAAGAGTTATAGGTCCAAGCTTATGATAAATTATCATTTATAGAAAAGTAAGCAAAACATAAGGGACAAAAATCTTTACATATCATCTAGATTTTGCAAAATAATTAGGAGCCTAAGAGAACAGGCACTGGACAGATGTTTTAATTCCCACAGGAAACTTGATTCAGGTTCTCACAGTGGAGCTAATTAAAATAAGGAGCCGTGTTTACTTTGGGTCAGAGGCAGTTTATTTTAAATGTGATTTCATGTACATTTATTAAGCAGCTTTTCTTGACAGAAATTTTGAGTAAATCGCCTTCAGCTCTAATACTTTTGTTTCTTTCAGACTTAATGTGCTCTGTCCCCAACAAAACATATGAAAATATAATTTAAAGCACAGTTTTCACAGACACGGTACAATACATTCACTATACACGGTGTAACAAAATACCCCATCCTTACCTGCTGAGTAATACTGTCACAATGAAGAAGTAGAAACGGTTTGGTTTATCACTGAAAGAGATTTAACATGCACAACGACTGTTTTTATGACTGTGTGGCTGCTGAACTACTGATCCAGCCTGCAGTTTCTCACACTAGAAAGAGCAAAGCTAACTAATAATTGCTGGCCTAAAACTTTTTGGTCAACTGTTGTAGGTAGGTATGGAGCGAGCAGGGCCTTCTGCACCAGCTAGTTGACTCTCAGTCTGGATCACCCTTTAACGGCCTGTGGGCTAACACTATAATCAGGACCAAGACCACTTTTCAGAGCTGAGGACGTTTTTGGTGGGCAACATCTTTCTTTATAAATACTTGGAAATCCCTCCCCATGAGGGATTTACCATTTGGGAATGCAGCTTACCCATCTGTTTAACAGAATTGTCATTTCACAGTGTGGAAAACTGAGCAAGGAACCACTACTTTCTAACTGTGTAAGATTTCATCAGATGGGAAAAGTTCTTTTAGAGGGGATCTGAGTTTATTTTTCACCAGTTTGTCCTGTGTAGTCCTGTGTCAAAGCAACTTTTATTGCGTACTAGGCAATCGGTAAACTCTTGTGTTTAAAGAATAGCACTTGGGATAAAAGAACACTCAACACATGATGGTACTGTCGGTGAGAGAAACTCGAGGAATGGTCCAGATCGGTCACTCTTAGCGGGCTGTACAGTCACTCTCCGTTGACCACCTGCTGCAAGAAGCACTTAATTGTCAGTAAGGCTTATTTTCATATTCTGGCAAAATGTTTTCTAAAGCTAAACAGACATTTCTAATGAAAATGCAGACATCTACAATGTGGTGGGAAAGTGCCTTTAAAAGAAGTCAAAACTGAGCACGAAAAGGGCACCGGGGTCTTAGGACGATGTTCCTCTTTCAGACATGTTTCCGTTTTATTTCAGATTGCGCCCCACAGATCTCTTAGGGCAATAGTTGCAAGAATTGGCAACATATAAACATAAAATTGTTGGCAATAGAGAACTACAAAGTGCTTGAGAACCTCATCCGTTGATGAAGCTGTAACTGAGTTTCACACACACACAATTTGCACTTAAGTTTTCAAAGTGTTTCTTAACAGATTTCAGGGGAAAGTATTCTAGACCCTGGTATCTTGGTCCATAGTAACATTAGTATAAATCAGTCTCTTGCACCCAGCAGGCACTCAGTGAGTGTGCTATTATTAGTGAGTGAACTGAGGCTTGCACAAAGATGCCGTGTGGAACACTGAAGTGATTGGTAAGTTCAAGGGCAAGAGTTTTAGCTTCTTCAAGGGCAAGATGATAATTAAACAAAACAAAACAAAGCACACCTTTTATGCATGTTATTTAAATATGAAAATATTTTTAGCATATTATGTTAAACATTCTTATTTATATTTCCATTACCTAAAGTCTTTCTACTCACAAATACTAACTCCATTATGTAAGGCATGGTAACCAGTTTGATAATGAAGGTATTATTTTGGTTTTATGTGAGTTGATGTGTTGAAAAGCTTCAATCACATTACAATCTTGAAAAGCATCTCAGTGCCAGCCCCTCCACTCCCAGTTAACATCACTGCAGTGTGATTGCACACTATGCAACATGCCCTTAATTTCGTTTTGGGGAAAATGTGCTGAAGAACCTAGAGCTTTCTCGTTTAGCACCTTATATCGAAGTAATGGAAATGGGTGTGATGATTACATGTGCAAATGTACAAAATCATCAACTCTACAAAGAGACATCATTCCAAAATTACAGAAAAGTTTAAAGCATGCATTTAATTATTTCTCATTAGAGGGTTGCTGAGTGCGTCCCCTGAAAAAGGTGGCTGTTTTCAAAATCAGCGACTGCTGGTGAGGGTTTCTTGGCACAGTTCTGACCAGCACGTCACTGCTGCATCTTCCTGATCATCTCCGCCGACACCGGGGGGTGGAAGTTGATTGTGTGGTGTCGCAGGCCCTGAGCGGTCTTGTAACTCTTCCCACACCGACATTTGAATGGTTTGCGGACGCGGATCTGCGTTCGGTGGCCATTCTTAGCGTGGTACTTTATGCCGTTCACATTCTGTGAAGAAGACAAAAGTTCCCAATGAGGAGTCACACTTGTAGAACCTTGGCATGGACCAGACCCCAGTAGAGTAGCTACTGGGTGGCATCTCTGGAGAGGGTGGCCTTCTTGTGTGTGTTAGGCCTGGGTTGTATACACTAGTTGTGTGAGGAAATGGTGCGGTTTCCTCTGGTTTCTCGAGGCCTCGCTTGTCAGGTACTAAAGTTTGCTACTTGGAAGAGAGTTAATTGGAAATCCTATGAATGTTTCAGAATGACCAATGAAATACCTTTCTAAAGAACACAACAACACAACTAACAGTCAGTTAGTCCCATGACTGACAAAAATATTGTATGGATTTTTTAGCAACAGATGATAAGAATCCAGATATTCAGATTAGCAGAATGTTCCAGAAGCCACATGAGGCTGCTTACAGCTGCCCAAGACTCCCATTCCCTAGAGTCACATACCCTCTTTCGGCCCCAGCAGAAGGGCCACTAAACATTTCATGTCTTTTCTATGGGCCGTGATGGAAGATGGGTGTCTTAGGGTTACTAATGTGTGACGAAACACCATGATTGAAAGCAGCTTGGGGGAGGAAAGGGTTTATTCACTCTTAGTTCTGTTTAACAGTTCATCATCAAAAGCAGTGAGAGCAGGAACTTGGAGGCAGGAGCTGATGCAGAGCCCATGAAAGCTTGCTACTTACTGGCTTGTTCAGAACAAGTCCTACAGAACGCAGGACTGCCAGCCCTGGAATGGTCTCACAATGGGCTGGGCCTTCCGCTGGGCCCTCCCCCATTGTCTCTAAGAAATCGCCCTACATGCTGACCCACAGCTACATCTGGAGGCGTTTTTTCAATTGAGGCTTCCTCCTTTCAGATGACTGTTACCTGGGTCAAGTTGAGCTAAACTAGTCAGCACAGTAGGTTAAACACACAAGATTCCCTATGCCCACTACCCTTGTTAAGGTAGAAGAAGCAAAAGACAGAGTAACTGCAGCCACATTGTGGCTTAGGTAACTCCATCTGGGCTTGGGTTTTTATACCTAGTTAGGCCAGGGAAGATTTGAAGAAAGACATATAAAGCTTGCCCCATGAACCCAAACATGGTTCACCAGGGGTGGGACATGAATCCAGCAGGCTTTGCGGCCTACACATTTGGGAGCTGCTTGAAGATGCTGGCTCGCACCCCAGCTGCTGTGAACACCCAGGGGCCAGTGGGAAAGCCTCACACAGTTAGTGTGTGTGCATGTGTGCCTGTGGGGATACAGAGGCCAGGTCTAGGACCGCTCTGCATTACGATTCTCTGCCTTGCTTCCTTAAAGTCTCAGCCTGGAGCTAGGATGG